TCAAGGACACCAAAGCTGATTCACGAACGTCTTTGCAACTCTTTTACAAAGACTCAATACACTTTAAACATCTTATTGTTAAGTTTTAAATCAAGGAGAGCACAAAAGTGGTTCGGAAAGCCTGAGTGAAAACCCGCCTTAAAGCAGATCCACAACTTCAACATGACCTTTCAGCCAACACAGATCCCTGGAAAGTATCAGATTTGTCCTAAAAATAGCCCCAAAAAGTGAAAAAGCTGAGCTCGCTTGCATGACTGAAACTCTTTCATGACCGAATTGACATGCTACATTCATTTGAGTAATGTGTCTCTAAGAACGCCGTAAAAGTAAAAACCTGCATGAAACAGGACGTTATATTTTATAATAGCACTTCATACTAATTGATAAGGCTTGATATAATTGGTTATTAGGTCAAGATGTTGCCTGAAGTTAAACCTATTCCTGAGGTTGTATTTTCAGTCATAAATGAGCAATTAAGCTAATCGGTGCAGATTAGAAGATGAAAGATTTATCCAGTGCTCCTACATGTGATTATAATTCTTTAAAGAGATTGCAGATTAGCATTGACCCATTAGGCATCTAAATCCTTTTACTGGAAAAACATGCAACATAGGTCCCAATGTCAGTATCGAACCTGGGAAGATGCAGTTATATTTTCCTTGCATGTGCTGTAACCACAAGGCTACAAAAGCACTCCATCGCTAGGTTGTTAAATATCTTATTAATATCATAGTACTTGATGTCAGATATTATTGGTGACTATTGACTATGTCTTGTGTTTCAACATTTCATAACTTCAGGTAATACATTTGTATAAAATATATGCTTTTAATGTGTGTGTAGTGTCTGAATGGCTCCGGTTGCTGCCTCTCCTGGGTATCCTGGCTCTGCTGGGCTATCTGACCATTCGCCCCTTCCTGCCGAAGAAGAAGAAGCAGAGGGACAGCCTGATCAACCTGAAGATCCAGAAAGAGAATCCCAAAGTGGTCAACGAGATAGACATCGAGGACCTGAACAGCGCAAATGTGTGTTACTGTCGCTGCTGGCGCTCCAAAACTGTGAGTTGAATCTCTTTTCATATGTATTTGTAGTGAGCAATAACTGACAGTTATTTGTATTTTTCACACAGAATTATTAAAGCATTTTACTTGCATTCATTAGCTAAGTCATACTATCTCCAGTCAATAATTATATTTGTGACTATGCAGCATAAGGAAGAGTGTGTCTGTATTTTGCTGATCAACTAACGCTAAGTTGTTTCCTTTTCTAGTTTCCTGTTTGTGACAAGTCACACTTAAAGCACAACGAGCTAACTGGGGACAACGTGGGACCGCTCATACTCAAAAAGAAGATACTATAATTGATCACTGATGGAATGTTCTTCTCACCTCCTCTGTCTTTAGTTTTTATTTCTTAACATGAGTCATTTTTGTTCCTTTTCTCACCCTGTTGTCATGTTTATGTTGCTCTGAAATGTGGATGACAAGTCTTTGTTTGAAGTGATACACCTAGAAATACAAAACGGAACAGAAAACTGTATTTGAGAATCTTTACATCACATAGTGCAGTAAAGAAGCTTTTTCTCCTACTTCTTTTATAGGCGTATTTTCATAGTTTACTTTTTTTTGGTTAACAGCAGCCTTTTTATATGTCTGTAACTTTAATTTTAGCCAGGTCTCAACTCTTTTGGAATCAATTACAAAACATTGGGACCACTTTGAGAGGAACACTTGAAACATAATTGCAGTGACTTAATTTGTATAAATGAAATGCTTAAATACTAGGGCAACCTCTGATGAACACTTTGTTCTGTATGTCTTCATTTTGGATGTTATTTTGGTATTCTTTAACAAAGCATCTCTTTGTCTGTGTGCCAATACACTCTTCACTCTTTCACAATGTGATATATTCTCTTATAAGTTATTGTGTGTATGGGAAGCTATTTGTTATTCTTCAAATTCATTTTGAAGCATTTACATTTTGTATTCAGCTCTGTTGCCTACAAACATTTCAAACCACTGCATTGTTGATAAATCTCCAGTTACACAGGTCTAACCTCCCTACACTGTCCAGGTTTCAGAAAGATATTTGCTCTGTACTGTTTTTCAAGCTTCTGCATTTTATAATGGCTGTACAGCTGACCTCCTACTGGAATATTCCTACTTGATTGATCAGCAATATTTTATACATAAATTGCTTGTATCATCAATGTCCATGATGATTTCTATTAATAACTGTGTTCATGAACCTTTGTAAGATTATGGCTTGATTTGACTCATTCTGTGCTTAATGTGTAAAAAAAGGAATAGTCGACAGAACTGCAGCTTCGTTGCCTTCTCTATACTACGACAGTGGATGATTTATGGACCCTTGAGCTGAAATAGATTTTCAATTAAAGATAATTGAGCATATCAACTGATCACATCAGTTTCTATTTCTCTGCTGCTCACTTTTTCAATAGGACTGGCATGCAAACCATAACTTCGGGGTCATATTTATAAAGAAGTGCATTATTTTTGCCACTTTTGTCAATAACACACACAAAGAAAACATGCACTAATGCCATCAAATGTCCTCATGCACATGTATTTTGTGAAATAAAAGCAATAGAAAACAAGACTAGGACTTCAGTCTGGATTTGCTCTATGAGGCTGATGCAGTGTGCTACATGCTAACATGCTTTGGTGTTACATGCTGATGTTTAGCACGTATCATTTTTGAACATGTTAGTTGGCATGCTTATATTTGCCGATAAGCACTACACATAAAGTTCAGAAAAGGCTGTTGGGAATGTCATTCATAGGTATATACCGTTTTATCAAACCCAGACAAGGTTGTTTAGTTATTTCAGCCTGGACCAAGGTGGTGAACCAACCGAACGACCAACACCTCCATCCCTAGAGCCACGCTGCAAGTATGGATAAAAAGCAAACAGATAAGAAGCCGAAACCTCAAGGGACAGTGACTTAAAATAGGACATGATTGTTGGTTGGTTAGTGAAATTGTAAAAATATTTTGCATTGTCATAATTTAAGCTATCATTCTATCACTGTCACACAATACATTCAAAATACAAAAGAACAATTATTGATGTATTTTATCATTTATTACTTAAAGAATATTTGGGAAAAAAATAATACTCAATTCTTATGCTTTGTCATAAATAGTTTATAATAATACATCACGAGGCAATGTCAATACATTCAAATCAAAACATTAAGTTACACTGCATGCTTCTGTAATAAAAACAAATGTAAAAAATAAGAAAAATCGACTTTCCCTTACAATCAAAGGTATGGTTTACATGAACGTTTTGAGTATGGAAATGGTTGAGTATCTGTGAAAATGGAAACCAACATAGCGAAATGTAGCAGAGGATGGGTGTTTTGCAGCATTTTGTTTAAACCGTAGGAAAGTGTTGTGAATTATTGAGATTTTTCTCCTGAGTATGTCAACTACACAAAATCCGTCTCATCACCAATACACGGCTAATACAAATTCTTTCAAACATACGCAAAAATAAAACAAACACATAGCTTTAAGAATGTTGTACTGTGAGCACAACACCTACAGACTGTGGTAATTTAAAACAATACAATATTACTACCATCAGTGCATTGAATTATGTAGCGCTCAAAAGAAAATGGCTTCTAATTAAATACAGCATTTCCACCTGTTCAAGTCCAAACACAGTGACAAGTTAACTGATATGTCATTACAGTCATACAAATGGAAAAAAGTGGATTTATTGAACATGATAGGCAGAAAATAATATCCGCTTTTACAAAAATGTAAACCATTGCCTCACACTAATATATATCTGATTAAAAGTGAATTGGGGACCAGAAACAGAACCACCTCTTACAGAGTCTCATACAGCATTACTGTGCACACGCTTGGATGTGGGTCATTTGTTTTGAGCCCGAGGCCTGGAAACCACCAGAGGCTATAAATACAGAGTGATTCATGTGTTCCTGCAGCACGGCAAACATCAGGAGCTGACCGGCAGATGGAGAGACAAAAGAGAGCCACTCGGTGGCTAAAGGAAAGCTCAAATATCCGAGGTGTGAAAGCAGCACCAAGGAAGTCTCCTTAAATGTCCCTGCTTACTGGATGAACACAGGTGATGTCAGAGTGTGCTTTCATAGGTGACAGGAGATTCATTTTCATCTTCACCTCCTGCTGCAAGGAATTTTCAAGATGGAGAGTAGACAGAGGGAGAAAAAAGTCATGAGAAAAGCTTGGGTAAAAGACTTATCACATGCTACACAGACTCTGTTGTAAACAAAGAAAAGTGTACAATCATGTGTTCAACACACTGTGAACAATGCCAGTGTTGTGTGGATGTAAAATACATGGATGAATGACAGGATAAATAGAACCTATGCAAATCATTGTCTGACTGGACGCATCTATCATGAAGGTAAAAAATATATTCACTATTCAAACAAAAAAGTGCAGCAAGGTCCAAGAGCAGTGTTAAGCGGAGTGGACTTGATGAATGTAGGACTTTACCTACCTAAGAAAAAGGCTGATACATTGGGTTTGACTCGCTCACCACAGGCAGAGTTCTTTGGTTTCTGCAGCAGGCGAGGTCCAGTGAGCCCTATGATCAGAGCTCCTACAGGGGCAGTGAGCAGGATGCCCAGCACAGCCACAGTCAGCACATCCATGCCGTACTTCTGCAGCAGCTTGTCGTCCTTCGACCGGGCCATGTCCAAAGCTGTGGAGCCTATGGCCGCCTGAAGAGAGCAAAACAAAAATAGGGATTTCTTCCATTCTCAATTACAACATAAAACACATTCAATTGTCCATACAGACAGAATTTATTTTTTGCAGATATGAACTACAGAAATTATTTGCTGTAAAAATTCTTAACTGTGCAGAAATTAAAACTCCCAGAAAAGCAGAGATGGCAAAAGTACACACATCCTTTACTCAAGTAGAAGTACAGATACTCGTGTTTCGAAGTACTCTGGTAAAAGTAGAAGTACTGACTAAACTTCTTTACTCAAGTAAAAGTAAAGAAGTATGGGCTTTCGAAATGTACTTAAGTAAAAAGTACCCATAACTACCAACTGTTTTAAAACTGACCTCACTTTTTATTAATAGAACAATAGTGTAATTGTTAGCTAATGAAAGTTTCGATGCTGAACAACGATAAAATGAAAACGTTTCATTTGTCCCTCTTGTTTAGAGAAGACCAGGAAATGATGGATACACGGATCGTGTTAAAATCAATAGGCACGCAATGACTCTAAATAATAATGATCACGCCACCAAACACAGATTAAAACTAAAGTAACAAACCTGTTTTGAAAATGTAAGAAGTAGAAAATACAGGTGTTTGTGTTAGAAATGTAAGAAAGTAAAAGTAAAAAGTCGTCAGAAAAACAAGTAGTGGAGTAAAGTACTGATACCAGAAAAATTTACTTAAGTACAGTAACAAGGTATTTGTACTCAACTACTTCCCACCTCTGCAGAAAAGATAAGTGAACTGCTGGCAAATGTTTAATCGCTGACGTACCTGCACTGTGGCTTTGGGCATCCATGCGAGGGCAATGAACACTTTTTCCTTCATGTTGAAGCCCGCACACAGCACACAGACAAAGGTGAACAGTATTCGAACTAGCAGGGCAATGAGCAGAGAGGCTATACCCAGACCTAAAAAGCAGAAAAACAAGATTCATACAGATGTGTTGCACAATATGACTTCTATTCGTTAACAATTGTATATCAGCAGCACTTCCTCTTAACAGGTTTGGGTCAAGAGTGGCAGATTAGCAGTGACACAGAAATACACACAGGCTGGCTGCTTACAGTATGTGCTGCTTATACACGGCCCTACTAGAATTATGTTTAAACTGTGTGTTATGTAGGGTGCATGTGCTCATACATCTATCATATTTACTCTTACACCTAAGAGTACATTTATAGTACACAAGGAAATTAAACTGAGAGCATGGAGGACATTTGTAAATGGCCTAACAGTACTGAAATACTTTTTAATGACAGAGATTTTTCTGATTTCATGTATCATAACACAGAGAGCCTGGCTGTCATAAAGTTGACAGTAGAAACATTTCAAGTAAAGGGTCAATATGAATATGAGACAGTACGTAAATTCTGGTATATTTTTTACCAGAAGCTGAGCAATGCTAGCCATCTGAAAGAGAGAGTGCAGTCTAAGCTGGAAAAATAGAGGTTTAATTAATTACCCACCTCCTCATATCTTTTTAAAGCACCACACAATTATTTTGAATGGGAGGTCAAGGGGATTATTTGTTACAAACATGTTTCTAAAGACGATGATGCTCTGTAGTCATGTCATATTTTCATTCATAACAAATCATTTTACAAGTAAATGATGTGTAGTTGTGTATAATATACATATATTATGTAGGTTTTTTAAGCCATTTGTCGTGGCTTGGATAAGATTACTTTTTTAGAAGAATTCTCAGGTATGTTTTCCAAAGGTAATAGTATTACCTCAAAACAGAGAGGGACATCTAAATGTTCTAGGGGCCTTGTTTTTGCTTATGGAAATATATTTACATCCATAAAGCTGCATTTGAATCCCTGAAAGTGATAACAGCCACCTCACTGTCTTATGTTGTGTGTGTATGGGTGTGGTCGTCTCACCAACTGTGTAGGCCTCCAACTCAGTGATACGAATTTCTGCTCCAATCAGTCCAAAGAGAAGAGGCTGGAACACGTCCCATGCCCAGTCCACCACTTCCTCCACACGTGCCTTAAAACAACACACAAGAGACAAATTGAGTTATGTTATCTTTTACATGCTTCAGTGTAGACAACTACTAACAGCTCAGTAGGTTGGTAAACAATGTGCTCCAATAATTCCTTATGATATACACTTTTCTGTCGAGTTAATCGTGTCGAATTCAACCCAATAGATGGAAAATTGCAAATATCAAGCTAACAAATATGCTGTATGTAAAACAGATGTTGCATGGATATGTTGTTACCTTTTCTGACCCCCAGCCGAGGCCAGCCAGGAAGGCCAACACCAGTGTGCAGAGGCCTCCAGAGCCCGGAAACCCTGCCACACCGCTGCCAAACACGGCAAAGACGGACAGACCCAGCACCAGGAAGGATCGCTTCATTACTACGTGTTTCTGTGTGAGAAAGACGCTCAATTATTAAATGTAGAATATCTTAACATAATGAACAAATCTCAAAACACAAAATGCTCCATATAACACTTATAAAGTCAGTTTGCGGTAGTTAATAAGACATTTTACATAATGGTGGTTGACACTTTTTTTACTTACTTTACTTTAATTTAGGTGCATTCAAAGTGCCCTCATAAACATTCCTCAGCGTTAATCATTTCAAACCAGAAGTGGAACTAGATTTTTTTCAAGCCTTTGTTGGCTGTACCCAAGTTGTTTCACACAAGCTGTGGTGTCAAGTGGCGTAAGGGAGACTTAGCAATAGTAAAACCAGCTAATATCAGAGTAATGCCTCAAGAGCAAGTGTACCTGGTCCACACTGGGAAAGTACTGGATGAGGAAGCCAAGAAGAATCCCAGCAACCATCCCACCGCCCACTTCTAGCACTCCTCGCAGGATGTTGAACCAAGTGGAGCCTAAAAGGATCAGCAAGAGAAATATGAAATAATAGTAGAAACTGAACCAACCTCTGACAGTTTAACGCTCTTTAGTTATGTCCTACATTGTGTTAAACTGCAGATATGAAACCCAAAATGTCACTTGGCGCAAAATATCAAAAGAGTAAACTGCACACTCACACCCTCTGCTGAGCTCCTGACAAACTACAGATAGAATCTTTTTATTTCAGATGCTTCTCAGTGCTGACTTACACTTAAGCACACTGAACCCAATGCCCCTCCCCTGGAGATAAGGTGGTTTAGCACTTTCTATAAGAGAACATTGAAGTCAGAATTATTTATCTTCACTCCTCCACACATGAACTCATAAAACAGGTTACCTGTTGCGAAGGCCACGCTCAGACATGTGGTGAACCCTGTGATTGCGAGAATGTCATCAAAACTGCCGGCAGCCATCAGCAGGGTGGGGATGCCCTGCTCCATGCCGTAACCGTCCTTCTGCAGCAGCAGCATGGAGGGAACCACAACTGCTGGAGACACAGCGCCCAGGACAAAGCTGCAAGGTGGAAATCAGAAGATGGATCACTTGAAACAAATAAAGGAGAACTTTTGAAAGCATCAGCGTATTAACACACTTTGTAGATATCAAAAGGGAGGCATTCCTGCAGCATGATATGTAGCTTATACTGTAGCTGTGAACTGATATTGGCCAAAATGTAACACATGACTTAGATTATTTGACAATGATGACACACTAGCCTCCCAAATACCCATAGGCCATCTGAGTAAAAAGCCTGATAATGCATTTCACCTACTTACGAATGCTGACTAAACAAAAAGATGAATGGCAAAGAAAAGACATAATCCATGAAATAATCTTGATTTGAATTGTCAATATGTTTGCTTTTTGCCCAAACCCATTATACATCAGTCAAAAAGTCAGAGGATACAAGGTTAGAAATGTAATGTGATCTAGAGACTCTCAGAGAGCAGCATGTTTTCTTGTTTTCTGCTTCATGGGAACATGTTCCTTGTCGGGAACACTAACTTATCTGATGCTCAGTGAGCTGAACAGTCTGCTCAGTAGGTAATGAAAATATGGTCTGAATTACAATTAGTTATCTTATTTCTGTTCAAAAAAATATTTAAAAAAAGAGGACACCAACTAAATCAGTCTGCATTTAAGTTGATGTCAGATTAAATAAAAGCTTTTAATAAAAATGTAATATTTGTTTTGTTCATTTTTAATAGGACTTCATTTTTAATAGGACTTCATTTTTAATAGTACTTCATTTTTAATAGGACTTCATGTGGACCATTCTCAGATGTCACTCTCTCTTTGTACTGTCTTTATCCTCACTGTTACGTGTCTGCCCTAGACATACTGTAATGAAAATACACAGCTTGTAATTATGTAGAACACTAAGCTGGAGATGGAAGAGAGTGGTCGGTGTTGTATTTACCCGAGGATGAAGCCCCAAACCCAGGGCAGGCCCATGAGGAAATGGGAGATCAGCGCTGTGGTGCAAGCCTCTATAATGCAGGGCCCAGCTGCCAGACGTAAACACACCGCTTTCAGTTTCCTCAGAGCCTGTCAACAGACACATAAATCATTCAGTTTGTTATAACAACCTTTAAGTAGAGATGATGAGAGGATTAACATGTGCATGATGCTTAAAAGTGCAGAATGATTTGTTGATTAATTGACTGATACATCTGAAAATTGACAGAAATGAGCTCTTTAGCAAAAGCAGAGTTACCACTAAAATACGTTTGTGGTTGTGAGATAGCAGTACTGTTTTTCGCCTACACAACTTGCTGTCTTAAAAATAGATGTCGTTTTTTTTCACTATATATCTGTTCAACAACAGTGTCACACATTATAAGATATTTCACCAGGAGGAATATGCGATAATACAGGTGGCTTTTCCAGGTCTCCCCTTTACCGTGTCTTAAGCTCACACTGGGAGGGACAGTGAATGAGAGCACATACGGTCACACATAGCCGATCCACAAGTCTTTACTATTAATAGCACACAACTTTGGTCCATGCTGCAAATGTAACACATAGCACATACAGGTCACCTCTGCTAAGTTTCCCCTCAAGGTCTTTTGCTCTTTGCAGAGTTAAAACATAGCGTTTGTGCGCCAATTTGCGTCTGATCTGGCACTTTTGTTAGGAAGCGGAAAATCAGGGACAAGGTCGTGAACAGGACAAGGCTAAGATTTGCATGCTTTTCCCATATCAGTGGAAATTGAATATTTTTGGATTGTGCAAAGCGATGGGACCAGTAGTTTATTATCATATGTCTCTAATCATTTCTGTGTGCAGATACTAAGATTCAATACTGAAGTGTGTGGCGTACCATGGGATCCAGACCCAGACCAGCTCTGGCCAGAATGACAGCCAGAGCGATGTTCCTCAGTGATGCAGACCACCTGTAGTCAATGTACACCCCGTCTGTTATAACTGGGATGTTTCTCAGCAAAAAACCCATCAGCAGCATACCTGCAACACAGCAGAGAGCGTGAGAGACGAAAGATGATCATTCAGGAGTTACACAGATACAGAACAGGAATAATAACCACCTGTTGCTTTTTGAACTTACAGCACTCAATATTGGACACCTGAGGCTCTCTGTAATACTGAGATGTGCCTTATGTCTCTAATAAAAATGCTACACATTATTTAGAAATGTAAAGACGATGCTGCATTTAAGAACATTATGATTACATCTATATAAATGGGGTTTAAAATATAATCAGAGAAAGACCAGCAAATATGTAAAATAGTTAAAGAGTGGTGAGAGAAGACTTTGAACTCATCACAATATTCTAATATTGTTAACAAAAACAGACGCTAAACAGGTATAAAACAACACTCTCTTCATGAAAGACACCGGAAATCAAGTTTAGATTATACTTCAATCTAGCTTGTGATGTTATTGCAAATAAGGAGTGGCTCCAGGTTCCTTGATTTTTATCTTGATTGGGGCGCAGCAGATGGTATGGTCAGGTAAAAAGTTCTTGCATTTTTTTTAAACTAACAGGACCCTTATCATGTACTGTAAGCTACCAATTCAACGAATATAAGCAAAACACAATACCAGCCAAATACTAAAGTGGCTAATGTAAACCTGACCTTTTACGGAACAAGTGAGTAACATGGTTGTAGAGTTAATCAGGAACTCCCTTTTGACCTTATGTGTTTTTTTTATTTGTTTCTCTTTTTGAATCAATGACAAAGGTGGAATGACTCAGTCAGTAGATTACTTTGTCACCAAATGTTGCAATACGTAGTAAATGAAGCTGCACTAAAGGCACATAATCCGTCTGGCACATAAGGCATAACACATATATTACCAAGGAGCGGTGGGAATGGCGGAAGTTTGGGCAGACGGATGAGAGCCACCACTTTGCCACCAATGACTGCGCAGATGAAGAGGATTGTGATTCCGAACAGGTTTCCCCCTGGAAGACACTCATCCTCGGTGATAGACCACACCACTCCAAAGAGCACACCTGCCAGAAGGACTGCAGGAGAAACAGGAGACAGACGTCAGATTATTATTGGGTCATGTCATGTGTCCATGTGTTTTTTATAATGTGAACTTAAAATAAAGTGAGTGTGTGTTAATATACATTTTTTCATCTACCACATTGCTGACATTTAATAGTTCCAAATGTAAAAGAAAGTCTGCAATTGTTCAGTCCTATTTAAAAGTACAAAGTGACATACAATTCATTTTCAGGTCACTGAGACAAGTAGAAACCATGCTTACCTTTAGTAACGAGAGAGGCCAGGAGTCCTCTTGGGGGACATGGGCAAAATCTAGCGAGCAAGGGGCAGCAGACCACGGGCGGGTCAGTGTTTGTTGCAGCATCCACTGCAGGGTTTCGTGGGATAAAAAAGGTGGTCTCCTCCGTGACATTTGGACTAGAACAACGTCGTACCACCACTTGGATCTGGTTCACATTTAGGTGCTGTAAAAGAAAGGTCAGAATACTTTTGCCTGGTGGACATTGTGTTTCTTAGTTGCCTTAACTCCCACATAATATATAGGCTGTCCATGTAAAAAGAAGCTTTAAAAACCTAATTTCAGTTAAAGAGTTTCCTTGTGACACATTGACAAACATTTTATTATATTTTTGATGAAAGGTTTGAAAATGTGTTGCGTATGTACCCAAAGCCTCTTTACTTTCTGAACACGTATTAGGTTAATATCTTGTTCCTTATTGCTATTGTTGATACAGTGGTACGTCATGCCAGTAGATACTAGATTATCGTTTCTGCGCAAATAATAGAGAGATATGAACATGTTGATAACTGCACCTCCCTGAACACCCTCCTAGTTATATTGCCCAGGTGAGCTCAAAGATTTGCCTTTGCCATTGGCTGAATTTAGGTTAATTATCATATTCAAATTACAGCAACAAATGATGAACAAATTATCTCTTACAGAATAATGCATTTTACAAGGTTAGAGGGCAGTGTTTTTAAACATAGAAGTCAAACAACAACCTCGATTGACTACTGTGAGTGACAAAAAAGCAAAGCCAAATGGCAGCAACCACATAATTTATATGTAGCTTTAAATTATTTGGTGTGTTAATAAAACAAATAGCTGTTTAATTTACACATAAAAAAACAATACATAATATTAGCTTATAAAAACACCCTTTTCAGCTTTGTCAAGGCTGTAAAAACAGATAACATTGTCAGAGATTGTAATGATTAAATTACTATACCTCCACATTGTTTGTTGCAGGCAAAGAAATTAAGTCCAGTAGTGGGCCGGTTGTTGGCAGGGATACTGGCGTCGGTGTTGGACTACGGGCTGGACTACGGGCTGGACTACGGGCTGGACTTGGTGCTGGACTCGGGGTCCGGGTGGGTTCCGGAGTGGCAGGTTTGGGCTGAGTGTCCTCCATGGCAATAGGCTATAGTATTTCTGGTCCACTCACTTCTTACTCACAGTACATCAACTGTAGGGGTGGGGTTGCCCATTGATGGGCAGTTCCTTCACTTCTGCTTCTGTATGTCAAGCTCTGACTGCAGGCTCCTATTCATACAACACAGCTTTATCAGTAGAGAAACGAATTATTGTTTACTTAATAAACAATAGTGAACAGTGGAGTTAGTACAGGTGTAAGATTGGATTAATGATTATGATAAATGTAATATCACACATGACACGCTTTTTGTGTCAAACATACAGGCTTAACAGAGAATATGTAAATGTTTTATTAATTTAATATTGTACTGTAAGAGGTCTCTACGGGGAAAGAAAACTAACGAGGCTTTAAGCCTCATGATCCATGTCTAAATGAGGATCTATGAGGCTAATGTGTAGCTGTATGCTGGCTACCGTGTACTGTGTTAACTTTGTATAACGCACTGGTAGTGATGACTTGTAACTCATTACAATGGACATACTAAACACGGTGCTTCACGTTTAATAGCTTGAGTCCACGCTATGTTATGCACAAAGGTTCACAGGTAATGTAATTTAGACTAACGCTACTACAATGTTTTGACAGTTGCTGATGGCAACAGACGTTAGTTAATCCACTGCGATCAGACCACACTAATCGATGCTTACAGCTCAACCATATGGCACATCTAGCTAGCGGATGCTAGAGCAACTAGATTAGAGTTAACTAGCATTGTGAACAACATACCTTTCAGACTGGCATTGGTAGCCATTTAGCTAGCAAGCAAAGCAAGTGTTTAAAGGTGTGTTTGTCCTGCTGAAGCGGTACCATAGTTGAAGCTAATAGAAGGGTAAATCCACGCCTCACCATACATAATGCTAATAGACCCATTATCGGACATGTATGTTAACTCAGAAGCAGCTAACTAAGCGTACAATATATGGTACAATAGTAATACACGAGCACCCGTTTAGTTATTATATAATGGATCTGTCGGGCATCGATCAGCTCGCCATGCCCATCGTTGCTTTGCTAGCGCTATATGTTCTGTGTTTAGAACGTTGCTTTCGCCCACCAGCGCTCTGCTCTGGGTCACCGATTACTCCTATTATTTTATAGATTAGTACAAGAGGTAAATTAGCACTGTCATTTCACTTACAGCCGTTTTACAGAGCAGTAAGCCGTTTTACAGAGCAGTAAGGTACGATATAGCTTGGAAAAGTTCACTATACAGTAATGGCTTCAGGCTGAATTAGTCTAGTTAACGTTAGTAAGGGGTAAACTCTCCATAACGCGACACTTAACGCGGCCGCCATGGACTTGTTAACCCGGTTGACGCAACGTTACAAATGCTTTCTTCTCAGGTACAAATCGGTTCAATCATCAATTTCGGAGAGCGAAGTCTTGTCCGATATTGGATGCTTTGCCAGTAGCAGGTTGTGTGCTTCCGACCAACAAGCTGTCAGTGAACTCCCCACACCATATCAATATGCACGGTAGCTAACTGGGACCTCGTGACCCCTCAAACGCTATTAAAGAAAACAAAAGCTCACCTTATATCATAAACATGACCGCGTGTGAACTTTCCGTGTGTAGGGTTTCTGGCAGTTATGAGGCACATAGAGCAGCTGGGCATTGGGAATGAGGCGGATTAGTGATGGCAAAGAATGTATGTCCCCGCGAACAGGAGTGCATGGGGGAAGTAGGGTCAAACAGAAAAGCCACTCAATAGTATTGGTGAACACTTTTAATAGATGTTTGAACATATTTCATTATTATTCAAATTAAACTTTTAACGATTGGTTTGTCAAATACTTCACAATTAATGCATTTATAATAAGATAATCACTTTAGCTGTGATAAAACCAATTTATTACAATGTCAATCAACATCACTCACTATGTTGGCATTGCACACATTTGCAGCATATAACATTTGATTTGGGAAATAGGGCATGTCACAGAAAAAGTAAACAATAAGCGAAATCATATAAATGATTTAACTCAGATTTAGTGCGTTTTATTTGGGCTTCAAATAAGAATATTAAGTCTCCACTACTGTCACAACGTGCTTGCAACAGTTTGCTTAGAGTCTCCATCCTCCATCGATGATTTGCTCCGTTCCAGTCACATAGGTAGACTGTGAAAAAGTGGAGATACATCATATAATTTGTACATGATTTCACTGCTAACAAATAAACAAAAATATGTATTTGCATGTATAAATATAATAAGTAATATTAAAAGTGGTGGCGATGAATCCAAGTATTCCCTCCTTCTCAAGTAGGCCTAATTAAAAAAAAAAAACGGAAACCAAAAACAAGTCTGCAACGTTTTTTGATTTAAAAAAATCCCACCAAAAGGATATTTGAGTCTCTTTTTTTTTTTAATGTTAACTCCACCTTAGTTTAAATCCTCTCAAATGTCTAGAATACAAACAAAGTAATTGGACCTCCGTGTAGCTACGGCTCTGCAAACTTTGCCTGAATGTTGATGTATTGTACCTGGACCACATACACTGGGGCAAAAAAGTATTTAGTCAGCCACCAATTGTGCAAGTTCTCCCACTTAAAAAGATGAGAGAGGCCTTTAATTTTCATCCTAGGTACACTTCAACTATGAAAGACAGAATGGGGGGAAAGAATCCAGGAAATCACATTGTAGGATTTTTAATTCATTGGTAAATCCCTCTGTAAAATAAGTATTTGGTCACCTACAAACAAACAAGATTTCTGGCTCTCACAGACCTGTAACTTCTTCTTTAAGAGACTCCTCTGTCCTACACTTGTTAACCGTATTAATGGCACCTGTTTGAACTCGTTATCAGTATAAAAGACACCTGTCCACAACCACAAACAGTCACACTCCAAACTCCACTATGGCCAAGACCAAAGAGCTGTCAAATGACACCAGAAACAAAATTGTAGACCTGCACCAGGCTGGGAAGACTGAATCTGCAATAGGTAAGCAGCTTGGTGTGAAGAAATCAACTGTGGGAGCAATTATTAGAAAATGGAAGACATACAAGACCACTGATAATCTCCCTCGATCTGGGGCTCCACGCAAGATCTCACCCCGTGGGGTCAAAATGATCACAAGAACGGTGAGCAAAAATCCCAGAACCACACGGGGGGACCTAGTCAATGACCTGCAGAGAGCTGGGACCAAAGTAACAAAGGCTACCATCAGTAACACACTACGCCACCAGGGACTCAAATCCTGCAGTGCCAGACGTGTCCCCCTGCTTAAGCCAGTACATTTCCAGGCCCGTCTGAAGTTTGCTAGAGAGCATTTAGATGATCCAGAAGAGGATTGGGAGAATGTCATATGGTCAGATGAAACCAAAATAGAACTCAACTACACGTGTTTGGAGAAGAAAGAATGCTGAGTTGCATCCAAAGAACACCATACCTACTGTGAAACATGGGGGTTGAAACATCATGCTTTGGGGCTGTTTTTCTGCAAAGGGACCAGGACGATGAAAAGGTAAACCAAAGATGAATGGGGCCATGTATCGTGAGATTTTGAGTGACAACCTCCTTCCATCAGCAAGGGCATTGAAGATGAAACGTGGCTGGGTCTTTCAGCATGACAATGATCCCAAACACACCGCCCGGGCAACGAAGGAGTGGCTTCGTAAGAAGCATTTCAAGGTCCTGGAGTGGCCTAGCCATTCTCCAGATCTCAACCCCATAGAAAGTCTTTGGAGGGAGTTGAAAGTATGTGTTGCCCAGCGACAGCCCCAAAACATCACTGCTCTAGAAGAGATCTGCATGGAGGAATGGGCCAAAATACCAGCAACAGTGTGTGAAAACCTTGTGAAGACTTACAGAAAACGTTTGACCTCTGTCATTGCCAACAAAGGGTATATAACAAAGTATTGAGATTAACTTTTGTTATTGACCAAATACTTATTTTTCACCATAATTTGCAAATAAATTCTTTAAAAATCAGACAATGTGATTTTCTGGATTTTTTTTTTTTCTCATTTTGTCTCTCATAGTTGAAGTATACCTAGGATGAAAATTACAGGCCTCATCTTTTTAAGTGGGAGAACTTGCACAATTGGTGGCTGACAAAATACTTTTTTGCCCCACTACGTATCGTATTCAAGCACTCACTCACCTCATCTGAGGCCAGGTATACACACAGGTGAGCCACCTCTTCAGCTGTGCACATTCTGCCAGTTTTCTGTCTTGCCATGAAATCCTTATAAGCCTGCAGAGTTACACAGAGAGAGAGAGAGAGAGGACTTAAAGTTGTATCATTTGCTCCAATACCCAGGATTGTTTCTTGTCAAAAACAATAGATACCTGTTCTGGGTCAGGTTGGGCCTCGATCCTACCCCTCAAAGATGGAGTATCAACAGTTCCTGAAAAAAAAAAAAAAAAGTCATGATTGGGTTCAATTTAGGTCTACTACACAAATGAGTTTGCACAGCATTTATTGAGACTGGCTTTGAAGGGACAAACTCAAGGTGTATATATAATTGAAATTCAGAATGTCCTCAAACATGATAATAACAATGATAAGAAAAAAAAAATTAATTTGTTTTCAAGTATATCTATGGTTAAATGTTATCTAGTGACCTCGAGCAATACTAGAGTAATCAAAGGACACATGGTTTTATTGTGAAGGGTGTTTTAAACTTACCAGGACAAACACAGTTACAGCGAATGCCTTGCTCAATAAAATCAGCCGCTATAGATTTGGTGAACCCAATCACTGCAGCCTTGGAGGTACTATAGGCACACCGGTTCACAACACCTGAGTGAAGGAAACACACGTCAATCAGACGCAGAGCAGCAATCTGAGCCAAGAGGATTACAATAAACTTGGTCATACTTCAATGACTTAATGTCCCTTTAGTCGGGCAGGACATATCTACAATCATCTACGGAAGGTTTTTCTTTTTACCTTTAATGCTCGATGCAACAGATGCCATGTTAATAATGTTTCCTGACTTCTTTGCCAACATCTAGAATGACAAAATACATTTGAAAGTTGTCATGTACACATGAAAAAATGTGTTAAATTAAGACGTTATGCAGCGTTCCTTAAGAGATTTGTGCTTTGATCCAAGCTAAAATTCTGCTTTGATGCAGTTTGGTTAGTTTGAGACTTAATCTGGATTAGTGATAGGACAGTCACCACCCATCATGTCACAGGCTCAGAGTAATACAGCTAATCCACGCGGACAAAGGGTGAGAACAATATGAAAGCATATGTCACTCAATTTACAACAGCATCTATTTCCTTGTCCTAACAACAGGATGAACAGCGATTAGTATTTAGCAAAGTAAACAGGTCACCTTAGGTAGGAAGGCCTTGCTCATGAGGAACATGCTCCGGATGTTCACGTTCATTGTGAAGTCCCAGTCGGCCTCTTCGCAGTCCAAGACGGAGCCATGGTGCACAAACCTGTTTGCAGTAGATGACATGTTAACTCTGATAACAAAGGATGTTATTACATGTAACTATACATATGGCTCTTACTTTGAGGTAAAAAATCTCAAATGTCAATCAGAAAAAAAACATAAGATTGAAAAAATAAGTATAATATTTCGCCACCTGAACAGTTTCTTCCCCCCCGCTACCGGCCTCATAAACAAGGCCCGGCCCCCCCACTGACACTTTACCTGAGCCACATCATGGACTCTATGCATTACATTAATGCACACAATGTACAACATTATTTTTGTATTACAGCTGATTTTATTCCATATTTTATTTTTCTATTTCATTCCATTGCAATGTAAATACTGTTATATTTTACTATATATTTTTAATTATTTTTTATATTTTTCTAGTTCTCTACCTGTATTTTTAATTATTGTTTTTATGCACCACGACAACAAGTCAAATACGTGTAAACCTACCTGGTAATAAACCTGTTTCTGATTCTAATTCTGATTCTGATAATAAATACAAAAGTAAACTGCAAATAAATGCTTGTTAAAATGCTGCGTTCTCCACCTCAACATTTTACCTTGACTTGTGTCGATTTAGAGACCTTTGTTAAGGAGATTGACTAAAGGTCAAGATAAGGTTAAACCTTAAGGTATAGGGATTTGGGAAACGTTGTTAATCATGGGACGGATACACGTGCTGAATGTCAAGACAGCAACACAAGTGGAACAGTTAGGCACAGTTTATGTATGTCAAGGAATATGGCTGTCAAGATTCTGCATATTTGTTATGTAAAATATTCTAACAGGGGTATGTAGTGCATCTTGTAGGGACTATTTACAGCAGTGTAATTAGTCTGCTAAAGAATATTTATGGCATCACGATTTCACAATGTTTGATCAACTCAAAATAAGCTACGCTGCCCATATTAAAAGGTAATGTATGAACATTTAACCCAGTGATGCTTACTTGTAATGAGATTTTCAGACAATACAAATTGAATATCATCAGACTTAATGCCCAAAAGAAAGTTCATGAGTATTACTCTGGTAATTCAGAACAACACACAGGAAAAAAACATACCCAGCGACATTGAACAGCACATCCACATGATCATGTTCCTTGGCCAGGGCTTCGACTTGGTCCTTCTTAGTTACATCCACAACCTTGGTCTTAATCCCTGTTGGTGAAGGGGAAAAGAGTGCATTTGTTGTGGAGAACAGGGCAACTATTTTAATGCTTGCTTTGATTCGACTCACATGAAAAAAAGAATTGTCTTTATGATGTCTCTAGTCATTCACATTTTATTGGAGGAGATGCTAGTTTAAAATCAGGCCGCCAGTCTACTAAAATAAACAAGTGAACAAAATAGACAAAAGCATCCTCTTTTTCTGGGGCTTCACAATCTGCACAAAATCACACATTTACAACCGATTGCTATTCTGAAGAGCTTATTTTCATGCTGGCCAGTTAACAGAAATATGAAGGCTCCCTCACACAATGTATTTACAGGTGATGTGTATTATTATAATGCGAGTCAACAGCTCTAGAGAAAGCAGTTAGGGGTGCTTTGGTTGAGAGCGATCTGCAAGGAGGTGTTCAGAGGGGAAAGAGTGTTAATGACCTCCTATTGATTCAATCCTGGTCCAGCTGATGCAATTTTCAGCAATAACTACTGATATTGTGCAGACAGCATGGTTTGGTAGTGATCCCTCTACTGTTCTGTTCACTGACTATGTGAGATGTGGAGACCAGTGAGCAGTAATTCACTCACACAGTATAACTTATCTTAAAGCAAATACAGCATATTAAAGTCTTTGCTTGCACACATTATTCTTGTATCATTTTTAGTGATGCAGTCATAGTAATACTTATATGTGGTGATTTTCTTAGCATTTTATAGTAGTAAACTGAGTATCTACGTCAAAACAAGACATCTGATGCAGCACCCCTGGCTCAGGTTAGCTGTAATAGGGAAGTCTCACTGATGTTAGACAAACTAAATGTTCAATAAATAGAGAAAATAACAGCCTTATTAATACAAAAAAAACGACCGCAGACCTTTAAGATTTTAAAAACAGGACTTGAAATGTTGATTGCATTGAAACTATGGGCATGTATCAAATGCATCTTCTTAAAGGCTCAAAGGTACAGATGTGAATGTTGTGACAGAATTTGAGCAAGAAGGAAAAACATGCCTCAGTCATCCTGGCTTTATTGCACTGGCTGCCCAGCAGATGGCGGCCTAAGACCAAGGGAAATTAATCTTACCTGGAATGCTATCCAGCTCTTTCAGCTTCTCTCCATTGATGTCTGTCGCTGTGACTTGAGCTCCCTCCTTTGCAAATGCCTACACAGATGAAAAACACGAGTCAGAGCCGAGCAGATTCACAATGTGTGGATATCTTATGCTATAAAACCTCCAGCTCAGTAGGACTTTGTAGAAGGAAAACAAATCATTTGGTATGATCCTGCAACTTTAACAAATATGTTGTATGGCTATTGCCGTTTGGTTCAATACGCTTAGATAATGAAAAACCTTAAGACTGGGACCAGTGAGGCAGGTATGATTTTCTATTTCTTATTAAAGCTGAATTTTCACCTGAATGCACACACTTACTTCCTCTAGAGGCAATACTTCAGGTCACAGTGCTGACACCAAGATCTCATTATCACATATGATAGCATTTCTAACCTTAACCCTTAAACATAATTTGAATCCATTCAATTTCCGGTCACTTGATAGCTGATGGAGTTACTGCACTGTTAACCACAGAGCAGACCCCATCAGTAAAACACACCTCTACAAGTGTAAATGAAAAAAGCTGACTAGCCCCTCAAATATATTATGCTGTGTGATTTGAACCTGATGATATTAGACATAAATAGTCTTATCCTTTTTTTATATTCTTGGCCACTGAACAAGACACAAATTGCTGTTTTTCAAGGCACATCTGTAAAGACAACACTTTAAGCTGATTGCTGTGATGATGACCCAATCTGGATAAGGACATGTGTGTTCAATTTTAGTGTCATGCTATCTCTTGAGCAACAATATCACCACACCAATCGTCCATAAGGGTTACCCTAACCTTTGTCTCAGGAGCCACTATTTGAGCACTCTTATTTGAAGTATACAATTGTTGACTGATAGCATATTTCAACCATTGCCCACAGAAGGCCTATAATATTCATGCAAGCTGAAAAAGGTAGTTTCTATAAATATATATTGATTGAATGAATATATAATTTTGTTTTATTGTACTACTGCAATCTACCCGCTACCACACTTCATTCTACAATATTACACTAATTTGATTTTATAAATATTACTTGCTCACCTATTTCCCCTGAATGTGTACTTCTGTCAATTGTAATATATATATTTATTTTTTGTTTTATTTTAAATACTATGTGCATGCCTTTTTACTTGTGTGTGTTATTTTTCGTCTCCATCTACAGTATACTTTGCTGTAACAATATAAATGTCCCCTCTGTAGGACGAATAAAGGAATTCTGATTGATTATATTATTACTATAACAGCTTTTATATTTCTTTATGGAACTCAGCTTGTTCTCCTGTAAAAACAAACAAACAGGAAAAATAGAACTTAAACAGGCAAATAACCACATGCAGTGTGTATTTCTGTAACACAGTCATTTGGAAGATAACATCTTTATGATCACTGTTATTAGTGCAGTGCTTCACTTATGTACCTTCCAAATGGCTTTTATAGAAGATATATAACATTTGGCAGGATGTCAGTACCATTAAAATGTTCAATTTGCATTACACGAACACTGGTTCGAACATGTAATTATGCAAAATACACAATGCTTTGACACCACATGATAGGCACTAAAACATTTTCCTGTGTAATATGGTTGGGCACGTATAAGTTAGAAGTTCTCATTAAAGCTCATTACTATTGCTGCAGCACGTCCAATCCCCTGCGCAGCAGCCGACAACACAATTACTTTCCCGTCGAGGCGTCCCATAGTGCACCTTTCACTGCTGCTATGATCTAAACACACAAACAGAAAACAGAGTATTGTACAAAAACAACGGGTTCATTTTGATATCAAATGATCTCTTCTCATTATATATATTTTTTCTTTTTTGCAATCAATAATTATTAACAAATGTGTTCACAGAAGATTAGTTTACCAGGCAGTATATAACCTAAAACAGCAATTGTGTGTGGTGTAGTATCAGATTGATATTAACAGGCCTTATTAGGAAATGCATAATTTTATGTTATATCCTTGTTAGAATATCTATGAGCCATGCCATCTATTAAGCCATGTTAAACCTTACAGAATACAGAGCTAACCTCTTGTAAATAGGCACTTGTAAAATAAGTGCTCCCTTATTCTATTGTTTGAATTGTTGCATGCAACTTTTGTCTCTCAACAGTCACTTTGTTACAATGGAAACAACAATTCACACGTATTAATGAGAGTAGGTAAGTATTACCTAAAGAGAAAACTACATTAAGATTCTAAAATAAAGTTACAAAAGTTGTTCATTTTCATGAGGGCCATCTCCACCCAAAAGTGGCAACTGTTTGGATAGCAGTTGGAGAGCAGTTTCCTGACACAGTTTGCTCTTGTCAGCCCTCACCAGTGGTCTTAGGAAAGAGACAGCTGGCTGTTACATCAAGTTAGTGAGAGATTCTCCCCTGTCTTTACCTTTTTCCCTTTAACAGGCAAAAGACTGGGGCTTACAACACCAGTGCAAAGTAAAGTAAAAATAACTTCTCAGAGCCACTTGCTGTTTATCTCAACACATTATTCTCAATGTGTATGCCTGGCATTGAGAATACAATCTTACACACAGTAGTGGTTTGACATGCTTTGTCATTTTATTTAGTTCCTCTGCAGAGTTCTTTTGAATACAAATGCACACTGTATTATTTGTATTATACGGTTTCATTCAAGTGCAGACACATACTGTGTGCTGATGTGCAGCCAGCTAAGGCAATGCACCTGTCAGCCTTTTCCCGCTTTGTCAACAATGTGGCTTTTAAAGGTTGAATCAGTAAGTAGACCAGACCCTTAACTTTTTCTGCTTTAAAATCATGTGTAGGCCTATGAATAGTGTACAAATGTACACAGGCCAGTTTGAGTAATATGTATTTTTGTTAAGGTTGATGTGGTCTAAGGCTTTAATGCTAGATATATAAATAGCAACTTAAATGTATTATAGCCTGAGGGTATACTATAAGTACAAAAGCCTATCAAAATATTATCAGAAATGTCAACATTACTTTTTAGGTTTTTTAAACACGGATGTAGTTGTACATCTCCAGGTCGTGTAAAAAAAATAGAACAGGACATTTCACATTGCAGGCATCATCCAATTTTTTGTTGAAAACAACATCATTTTAGAAAGAAATGGCACCAATTAAAGTGTGCCGAATAAGCAGTTGAATTATTAACAGTTGATGTTTGAATGGTACGGGGGTGTACAGAAAATTATGTTCAAGGAGCGTCTTTTTATGGAGCAGCCTCCAACTTCTGGAAGCCATTGCTGTTACCATAAAGTTAAGAATAAGGGCGCACTATGGTAGTGCTGTGTTACAAATGTTTGCTGGCTTGGTATTATTTTTAATATGCACAGCTATGTTCCGGTGAAAAGTGGTACAAAGACATGCGTCTTGTTTTACTGTTGCACAGAATATAAATCGACTAGGCAACTAAGGCAAGTATATTACCTCACCCCGAACACCTAGAACTGTAAGTGCACGGTGAACTATTCTGAATACTTTTGTGTCTGCCTCTCCAAACACACACGTATTTACTGCTGCATGGAAAAAGGCAGGTTGTAGCTTAACACATTGTGAAGAGTTCCACTGTCGAATTTGTACATTTAATGTTCATATGTTGCACATGATGATTCAAGTTCAACAACACTAGAAAACGGATCAAACTCACCCAGTGTTCAGGTCCGACACATTGAATAACAAAGTTCAAAAGTAGCACCGCGTGAAACCTTCTGCCTGTAATGCTATTGGTTCTAAACCCGGAAGTGTTTTGTCGTTTGAGAAGATGAAAATTAATGCAAGAGAGTGCAGTGCCTTATTTGCCTAGTTAGCAGACGCATGTTTAGTCAAATACATTTATATTCTTTAACATACATTTATTTACATTTATTTAACTGTGTGTGACCATTTAGGGAAACATGTTAATATGTGTAAGAAGCTATTTGTAGAGGCTCCTGTTTGATGCATGCGTAGGCTACGCTACTATTACACATACCTAGGGTGTAAAAAGCTATTAAAAACAAGCAGGAGTTGACCTCTTGCAAGTGTGAATTGTCATGATAATGAGATCAACTTAAAAAAAACTTGAAAATGGACCTTTGAGATCTGTTCAACGTCCTTTTATTACCACTAAGGGTTAATGGTTTTCGGAAAGAATATTATAGTTGAGGTTAATAGTCAACTGAAAATGACCCTTGACTTTCCACCAAGTCAGACAATGATCAGCCAATTGTAGTTTCAGTAACTTTACAAATGTTCAGTGCATGTCTGACATTTGAGGATGGCAGTTTAATGTTAACCTTGTAACTGGACCTCCAGTCTATACATTTGACATTTAGTTGTTTCTGGGAGTTTCAATCATCTCACATGATGGACATACAGTGTTTGCCCAGATGTTAAAAGCTTCCATGATAAATGTTCCAATTCCTTCAAGTGATCAGAAGAAACTATTTAATGTAATCTGCTGACATTTTCAGAACTATGATTCAATGGACATTAGGATAAGACTGTTTTGATAACTGCTTTTCCCAAGGTCAAGAGTAACTTTGAAACTCAATGTTTTTCTCTATTTTCCACTCTACCCTCAATGGGGCCCCATTATTTATCGGTAAGCCTTCTATCATTTTTTAAATCTTTTTAATTTCTACTGTTGTCCTTCAAGTATGATCTGTGGTCAGTATTACATGTTTAATGGCTCTTAATGCAACACAGTTTGCATTTTTTTTTCTTGTACATATCTTTTCCCACCCTGTTAATTTACTTATTTTCATTGGCTTCCATCACAATTAAAGTGCAATTTTCATTAATCAGATAGAAAAAAAAAATGTTTACACATCACAATCTCTCATCACTTAAATGAAATCACTCGACATGGTGCAGCTGCATGCAAAGGTAATAATTGCACCTTATCTTTCCGGGCCACAATGACACTGCAAAAGCTTTTGAAACAGACCGCTCCTTCAAATGTCACTAGCAGTTTCTGGTTGATGATAACACTTTGTAAGCAGTGTGAAAATGTGACTGAAATACAGGAGCTGTTGAAAGACAGCTGGGGTCTGTTGAATGCTAAAATATGGATTAACAATGTTCTACTTGCCAAAGACTTCTCCAGCCTGGCAGCTGTTCTTGAATGAGGCCAGGGGGCAGTGAGGACACTATGATTTTCTTCATCACCAAAGTTAAGTGGACTGGGAGCCAGTCTGTCACACACCCAGGTTACACTTCAATCAGTGGACAATACCACGCAGAGACAGAGTAATTACCTCGTCTCTGCAACTGGTCGCATGTTGATGTGGAACATTATACTTTCTGTTTCTTAATCTCAGGTTCATCCAATGCTCAATGTGCATGTGTTTCATCACAGTAAATGCTTTGTGTCGTGGGTGTATAAGAGATGTGTGATTTAATCAAGTGTTTATTAAATTATTTTATTCTCTGTAGATTCTCTCTGTTTTTTCAAACAAAGAAATAAAATTTTCTTGAGGCTTTTTATTACTTCTCTTTCTGGTTAGTTGGTACTAGCTTTATGAATGGCAGGCATAGTTTTCACATTCAAAGCACTGTCATACCTGCGATGCACATTTTTTTTTGGAGTCAAAGCCTTTCTGCTTTCTGTGGAGTTATCCAGCATGGTATTCCGGGCTTTTCGAAAATCTCATGAATTTCAAGACAAAATTATACAGTCTTGCCTTATATGTCTACTACCTTAGTTATAAAGGCAGCCCACTGAACCAATGAAGTTTACCCACCATTATCCATTGTGCAGATAACAAATGATAATGCCCATTTAATGGGGTGTTACAATTCAAAGCAGGTTTGCTATCTGACAGTTGAGTTTCAATAGTTATTGTTTTTTTGGTTTATATTCATTTATTTATGATGAATTCCGTTGTTTTTTCCTTTATGTTCTTTACTCCACTGGTTTTACACATAACAGTATGTTTCAAGTCAAAAATAAGTACTACATAGCCTATGAACAAAAGAGGGACGAGATGCCTTTTATTGAAGGTAAGGCGCTCACCTCACAATACATTTTTTTTGGACTAGATGTGTTTGGATAGCCCACTTTTGTAGTGTAAAAAACTGTACTGTTTAATCTTGGAAACTTTATAGATAACTGCAAACCTTTGTTACATTTGTTCGTGTTAAAACGAGCAGTCTTCAAACTGCATCCACGGATGAAAAGCAATATAAAAAAGTGGATATGGAGCTTGATCCATAAGAACTAAAAGTAAGGATATTTCGGGCTTTGTTGCGTTTTTGACTATCTTTGTGTCTCTTTATGAAATGCAAAACCGAATCACAGTATACCCTTTAAGAATCAATATATTCATATAAAGCTGGATCAGAAAAACCTGGATCAAATATTAAAATACTTCAAATACATTTAAGTGACTTTCCCCCCACCACAAAGCTTGAAAAACCTTTAATCCAAAACAATCTGTCAAGACATTGTACACAATTTTAGTAAATTCATTTGGAGCCACTACAGTATATAAACATTTTAAACTTAAATTCCCACATATTTTATGAACACCACACTGCATAATGTTGGATTTACTCTGACAGGCTTTGCTACAGTTCACAGCTCTGGTCAGTCCTGTGTAGAATAAAAAACATTAAGATTGTATCACTCATAAGGATGCTATTACAGACAATGACATGGAGCACATAAATAGCTTCCAGCAAAACAGAGTTTTTATGGGAACGCACAGACAATTTTCCTTATAATGAATACCAATTACAATATGAGCTGACACATTGATTACAAGGTCTCACGGAGGCCAACTCGGCTTCTTTCTTTAGCCAAGTGTAATAATTATGTATATATTATATATTAGGCGATATGACATTCAGCAATGCTAATTTGAAAGCTTTTTCTTTTTTTCATAAATCTTCTTGAAAAAGTATTGTAGATAATAACAGCACAAGCATTCCTAGATGAAAAAAAACAAACAAGGAAAATATTAAATCAGGACTGAAGCTTGAGCTCTGAGCCAGATGAACATGAATAATACTAAACTCAAATACAATTATATAATTTGCATGAATCCCTGATGCATGGCCTCTTTTATATGCTTTCAGACAGGAATGAAAAAGGTCACTATAGGCTTCTGAAATTGAATCTCTTCATTTACACGCATTAAAAAGCATTAGTAAGGAGGACTTACTGTACACACACTTCCAAAGTAGATACGGTAAGTAAGCCACATCACGGACTGGTCTTCTCCTAACCAGTCTAGCAGTCAAGTGTAGAGATTAGATCACTTAAACACAACAAACTCGAAATGGTGAACATGTCAGGAAACAGTTGCCTATTTAAAATCATGTGGAGTTATTTCCCTGGCCACCAAAATAACATAAGTCCCTGAGGGAAATATCTTTGTATTTAGCAGCCAAATTGTCCTCTCAACATGTCCACCATCCATTACATGAGCCTGATACCTGCTATGACTTAAAATAATGAAAGCAGTGAGACTGAACCAAACCAGTCAAGGTGTGGGTCATTAAATAACAAATAAGTGGAAAGAAAGCTTGGTGGAAAAGAAGGGAACTGGAGAGTCAGGACACATTGGAGGCA